ATATTTAAATTTTATTTAATCCATCCATCGAGTCATTTAACAAATACATATTTAGGGCTGCTATTTACTGAGGATGTCATGGTGAGCAAAAAAAGACATGCTCAATACCAAGGAGTTCATGGTTTATGTGGGAAGAAAGTCATTATTCAAATCATCACATAAATATATTCAAAAGTACAACTATGACATAGGGTCAAAGGAGTGGTATGAGAGAGCCTTGATTAGGGGAATCTGACCTAATTGAGGTCAGGAATATTTCTGAGGAAGTGAAAGCTTGAGCTGACCTCTAGTAGTAAAAGATAAATTGGTAGAAAAACGGGAGAAAACCCATTCTAGGCAGAAGAAACAGAAAATAGTATTTTCAGGGTCAAATTGGAGATGATGGCAATATTGAAGTAAAAAAATACGTAAGGCATGTGTAAATAGTGTTTGGAGTACAGGTGATAGTTTAGGGAGAGAGATTTGCGCATTAAATGAAATTGGTTGTTGAGTTTAGCAGAGTGGATGAAGGTAGAAAAGTAAAGGGTTGAGGCTAGAACATTGAGGAATAACCACAATTAATGAACAGGGGAACAGAGATGAGCACAACCAAATGAGAGGAGTTTTAAGTATTGACTAAATGGAAGATAAAGGACTTTGAAATGGCTTTGTGTCTCTGGTAGTATTTTGAAGATGTGGAGGGACAATCTGTGGGAACTGAAAGTCTTTCTTATTGTGAGTTGACTTCTCCCAGGGAATATAGCCTGAGTTCCAGACCTCAAGTTCCATATTGTGTTGTTTTCAACACTGGAGAAACAGGAAGTTGAGTGAAATTGTTCACACCAAAGTAATGAACTTGAACCTGGCCACAATAAAACCATGTCTAAGTCTATTGAAATCTCATGCCAGAGTTAGTTGAAAGAAAAAGAATTTAGGAATAGAATGGTGAAATGTTGAGATAAAGATGAGATTAAATAAGTAACCTAAGTTAGGGAGGAATTAAGTGATAAAAGGTCTATCAAAGCAAGTAGAATAATTAGGAAGTTGGTAAGAATTCACAATAGATTGAATATGATTGTGAACCCAATAGATCAGTATTTTTCTTTGTGAGTGAACTAAGTCAAAGGGGTATTTATAATCAATAAACTGTACTCTAATGCATTAATAACAACTCTGGCTATAACTTAGGTACTGGTAATATCTAAAATATATTATTAGACTATTTAAGATAGCCAGATTTTAAATGGGTTAAAAAAATTGACTTGAGTCGAAATCGGTTTGACTCAGTGGATAGAGGTTCGGCCAGTGGACTGAAAGGTCACAAGTTCGATTCCGGTCAAGGGCATGGTTGTGGGCACATCCCCAGTGGGGAGTGTGCAAGAGGCAACTGATCGATGTTTCTCTCTCATTGATGTTTCTAATTCTCTATCCCTTTCTCTTCCTCTCTGTACAAAATCAATAAAAAAAAGTATATATATATTTTTAAATATATTTTATATATATATATTAAATATGTATATTTAAAAATATATATATACTTTTTTATTGATTTTGTACAGAGAGGAAGGGAAAGAGATAGTTAGAAACATCGATGAGAGAGAGTCATCGATCAGCTGCCTCTTGCACACCCCCTACTGGGGATATGCCCGCAACCAAGGTACATGCCCTTGACCGGAATCGAACCCGGGACCCTTGAGTCTCCAAGCCGACACTCTATCCATTGAGCCAAACCGGTCCCGGCCAATAAAATATATATTTTTTAAATTGACTTGAGAAACATTGATTTGTTCCACTTATTTATGCATTCATTTGTTGCTTCTTGTACGTGTCCTGATCAGGGATTGAACCCACAACCTTGGCATATCGGGACAAAGAAAATGTGCTAACCAACTGAACTACCCAGTTAGAGTGAGGATAGCCAGATTTTGAATGGATTTATGCTTCTTTCATGTACACTTAGTTGAGGGCAAGTTTTAGGAGTGAGATATGTGTCTTTATCTGCTGGCAAAAAAAAAAAAAACCTACTATACTTTTTTTGTAACAAGCTGACTTTCAAATTAAAATATTGACTTAGTGACATGTTTATTTCCTGTGTTTAAACCACACTTGCCAAAGTATAAGAGAAATTTTTATACCGTGTCTCTCCATTTATACTGTGTTCTGTGGTTCTTTTTGTAGGAAGGGAATTTTCCTGGCCATGTTTTATGGTTTAAAATATATATATATATATATATATATATATATATATATATATATATATATATATATATATTATTGATTTTTTTACAGAGAGCTAGGGAGAGGGATAGAGAGTTAGAAACATCGATGAGAGAAGAAACATCGATCAGCTGCCTCCTGCATACCCCCTACTAGGGATGTGCCCACAACCAAGGTAGATGCCCTTGACTGGAATCAAACCTGGGACCCTTAAGTCTGCAGGCCGATGCTCTATCCACTGAGCCAAACGGGCCCGGGCACTTCCCATTTCTTAAATTCAACATATCTCAATTTTAAGAGACTATAAGTTTATATTAACTTGCCTTAGCATTATATTGCCTCTATGTGTGTGTGTAAAAGATCATTTTTTTGAAAATGAGAAGCCCATCCAATGGAAACATTAATTTAGCACTTTTAAAAAATATATTTTATTGATTTTAGAGAGGGAGAGAGAGAAACATCAATGATGAGAGAGAATCATTGATCAGCTGCCTCCTGTACACCCCCTACTAGGGATTGAGCCCACAACCCAGGTATGTGCCCTTGGTCAGGATCGAACTTGAACCTTTCAGTCCACAGGCAGATGCTCTATCCATTGAGCCAAACCAACTAGGGCAGTGGTCGGCAAACTGCGGCTCACGAGCCACATGTGGCTCTTTGGCCCCTTGAGTGTTCAACGCCACTTCTTCAAAATAGACTTGCCCAGGCCGAAAACCGATTTCTGTGCATGGGCCACAAAGTTTCAATCGCACTGTATGTGTGTGGCTGCACATGCTATTTTGTGGAAGAGCCACACTCAAGGAGCCAAAGAGCCGCATGTGGCTCTCGAGCCGCGGTTTGCCAACTACTGAGCTAGGGCAATTTAGCACGTGTATAGTTGAAATAAGGGCACAAGGAGACACTGCCTCATTGTTAACTTTTACCCACCACAGGAAATCCAGTCAGATGTCTAGATCTTCAGGTCCAGAATATGTTGTTTCAGACAGTGGACAAACAGAGGAATTTGGGTAAGGTCTTTCTCTTTTTAAAAAAATCCTCACCCCAGGATATGATTTTTTTGATTCTAGAGAGAAAGGGAGAATCAGTGTGATTGAAAGCATCAATCAGTTGCCTCCTCTACTTGCCCTGACTTAGAATTGAACCCACATTATAGGTTGTGCCCTGACAGGGATCAAATCCACAACCTTTTGGTGTTTGGGATGATGCTCCCAACGACTGAGTCATCTGACTAGGGCAAAAAGTCTCTCTTGACAAAGCAATGAATGTGAGCCTGATCACAGTGGTTCTATTGTTCTGAGCTAGAGTGCATGTGTGCCTGGTTGTTGACAGGTCTCTTTGTCGTTATTTAAGGGGTGAAAGTCAGCTTCAAGATCAAACCTTCATCACCCAGCAAGTACCAATCTCAGACTCTTCTCATGAAGTGGAAATACCCAATATTCAGAAAGGATCACATGAGTCTGACATGGTAAGTAGTCTGTAATCTAACCAAATAATACATATAACTGTTACCTTTCCGCATGAGCTTCTTTGCTAAGTCACAGTTGGTTAGCTCTACTATTTCAGGTATCAATAAAATGAGTATTAATACTAGTATGAGATTGTGGACATTTTTTATAACATTATCTACACTAAGGAAGGCATATACTCAATGAAAATGCATATTTTTGCCTCTTAGTATTGAAAACCTATTAATTGCCTTTTGAAATATACAGCTTAGACAAAATATGTACTCTCTTTTATGTAAGAATTAAAACATAAGGACCAGCCGAGACCGGTTTGGCTCAATGGATAGAGCGTCGGCTTGGGGACTGAAGGGACCCGGGTTCAATTCCGGTCAAGGGCATGTACCTTGGTTGCGGGTATATCCGCAGTAGGGGGTGTGCGGGAGGCAGCTGATCGGTGACTCTCTCTCATTGATGTTTCTAGCTTTCTATCTCTCTCCCTTTCTCTCTGTACAAAATCAATAAAATATATATTAAAACAAAACAAACAAACAAAAAAACCCATAAGGACCATTTAACTCTTGGCTTTGGACAGAGGTGGGAAGTCTAAGTCACCACAGGCTAGGGGACAGAGGCATTATAAGGAAGTATGGCACCGTTTTTTTAAAGCCAAATTTTCTTTTTAAGAGCTTTTTATTTGTAATTCATTATTCATAATTAGTACAATGTAGAATCAGAGAATGAGGCCACATCAGAGCAAAAAGAAAACAAAATACTCTTTTAGCTGCTACTAGCATTAACATAATTGTACAGTTGTTTTTTCTAATAAGAAACAAGAAACTTTTGAGTGGCAAGTAGCGAGCCAAATAAATTGATTCCAATTAGAAGAACACGGTTCTTTTTTTTTTTGTAATATTGAAACATCTTCTAATTTAATTATACCTTCCATTTTCATTATTCTGATTAGTATTTTTAAAAATATATTTTTATTGACTTCAGAGAGGAAGGGAGAGGAAGATCAGTGATGAGAGAGAATCATTGATGGGCTGCCTCCTGATTAGTATTTTTTTTTAAGTGATTTCCATTAAATGTAAGGAAAATTTAGGAGTCTGTGATTTAATTCCACTTGGAATTTAGAGAGTATGATCTTTTATTTAATCCAGCCTCTAGTTGTTGGATTGGATTAAATATCACTACCAGTTGCCAGCTATGATAAGAGATAAAACAAGGGACATTCTATAAATTTCTACTGCCTCATCTTTAGGAAGGCAAATCTAAAATAAAACAAAATAAATCAGGCGAGTGACCGGAGGCAGCGGCAGCGGCGAGCGGGTTCCTGCGGCCTCCAAAAATCCTGCAAAAATGTCTCTGTATCCATCTCTTGAGGTTCTGAAGGTAGACAAAGTAATTCAGGCTCAAAGTGCCTTTTCTGCAAACCCTGCCAACCCAGCAATTTTGTCTGAAGCATCTGTTCCGATCTCTCAAGATGGAAATCTCTATCCTAAATTGTATCCGGAGCTTTCTCACTACATGAGCCTCAGTTTAAATGGAGAAGAAATAGAGGCAAATATGGCCATTGTCCATGGAGCACCAACTCAGGGGCAGTTGGTAGCAAGACCTTCCAGTATGAACTATATGGTGGCTCCTGTAACTGGTAATGATGTTGGCATTCGTAGAGCAGAAATTAAGCAAGGGATTCGTGAAGTCATTTTGTGTAAGGATCAAGATGGAAAAATTGGGCTCAGGCTTAAATCCGTAGATAATGGCATATTTGTTCAGCTTGTCCAAGCAAATTCTCCAGCCTCATTAGTTGGTCTGAGATTCGGGGACCAAGTGCTGCAGATCAACGGGGAAAACTGTGCAGGCTGGAGTTCTGATAAAGTACACAAGGTGCTCAAGCAGGCTTTTGGAGAGAAAATTACTATGACTATTCGTGACAGGCCCTTTGAACACACAATTACTATGCATAAAGATAGTCCTGGGCATGTTGGTTTTATCTTTAAAAATGGAAAAATAACATCCATAGTAAAAGACAGTTCTGCAGCTAGAAACGGTCTTCTTACAGAACATAACATCTGTGAAATTAATGGGCAGAATGTCATTGGATTGAAGGACTCTCAAGTTGCAGACATATTGTCAACATCTGGGACGGTAGTTACTATCACAATCATGCCTGCTTTTATCTTTGAACATATTATTAAACGGATGGCACCAAGCATTATCAAGAGCCTGATGGACCACACCATTCCTGAGGTTTAAAAGACGACATAATGAACTTCCCCAGTTTACTTCTTTGGCAACTTCACTCGATATCATGCACCTGAAGCTTCCTAGGAGCCAGAGAGCATATGCTGCATGAGGTCCTTTCTGTCTACAGTGTAGCTGGGAATCTGTTTGATCTGATAATTGCTCAGACTTCAAAATAGTTGTAGCCTTATCCTGGTTTTACAGATGTGAAACTCTCAAAATCAAAGGACTTTCATAGATTAGTTTCTCTACTGGAAACCTGATGCTTTTCAAGCCTTTATGATTAGAATGACTGATGCAGGCTTAGCTTTGTGTTGGAGCCAGTCACCTTTGTCCTATAAATCAAGTATTGTTGTTACTTTAATTCTATGGTATATTTGCATTTTTACTGTTATCATAGAACATTTAAATGATTGCTTTTGGTAGTTGTGTTTTGTTTTTTTAGTTACCTCTGTGTGTAGTGTGTTTCTGTAAACACCAATTAAATAACACTGGTTTCATTCCATGTAGAAAGCATTAAAACAGTGTATGCAAGTTGTATTAAATTTTAACTACCTTCACTTGCTTGAACTGCTGCCTTAACTTAAGCATCTAGAAGAAAAGCCAAAACATAATTATTGCTGCCTTTCTACATCCATAATGCAGTTCTATATTAAACTGAAATGTACCTTAGCCCAGAACAAGAGCTATATATATATATATAGCATAGCTGCTTAGTTGCAATTGAGATTTTCTAGTCATAGTCATTGTGTAATGCAACTACTCATAGTTCCTGGTATCATTTTCTGATAAATGAATTACTATATATTTAATGTAAAAATTCTTATAACTTAACTGCTTTAGGAGGGTCTTAACAAACCATGTTGTCCTGGTGATTTGTTCTATTTCTGACTTCTCCCTGCAAACAAAATGGCATTGACACTTTACCCTGATTTTTTCCCCCCTCCTTTTTGGTTTCTACTTATTCTAATTAAATATGTATGTATAAATAAAATTTAGCCAGACTATTATTGCAAAAAAAAAATTAAAAAAAATAAATAAATCAGGAAGACCCAGTACTGTCATAAATGTATTTTATTAAAATTCTAGTCACCTTAAATCAGTGATTTTCAGCTAGTGTGCCACAAGTATTTTAAAAAATATATATTTTATTGATTTTTTTACAGAGAGGAAGGGAGAGAGATAGAGAGCTAGAAACGTCGAGAGAGAAACATCGACCAGCTGCCTCTTGCACACCCCCTACTGGGGATGTGCCCGCAACCAAGGATGTGGCCCTTACTGGAATTGAACCTGGGACCTTTCAGTCCGCAGACCAGTTTGGCTCTACCACTGAGCCAAACCGGTTTCGGCAAGAATTTTTAAAATATGCAAAACCTGACTAGTCAGGAGCACTGACCTCTTTTCCCTTATATTGCCAAATAAAGTAATGACAACAGCCAACACAAAATAGCCGTTTGGCGTGAATGCTCCCCCCCCCCTTTTTTTAAATTAAATCTTTATTGTTGAAAGTATTACATTTGTTCCATTTCCCCCATCTCCCAATTGATCCCTTCTAGCCTGCCTGCCTGCCTTTACCTCCACTTCCAAGTCCCAGCCCTTCACCACCCTATTGTCTGTATCCATGGATTATGCATATATGCGTGCAAGTTCTTTGGTTGATCATTTCCCACCCACCCACACTTCCCTGTCTTCCCTCTGAGATTCCACAGTCTGTTCTATGCTTCTGTGTCCCTGGATCCATTTGTTCATTAGTTTATTTTATTCATTAGATTCTAAATGAGTGAGATCATGTGATACTTGTCTTTCTCTGATTGGCTTATTTCACTTAGCATAATACTCTCCAGGTTCCTCCATGCTGTCTCAAAGGCTAATGCTCAGTCTTGAACCATCAATATATAGGTCATATAATAGGGTTGCACTTTATTGGTCATGTTGCATAATAAGGCTGCATCTGATTAATTCTGGGTACCAAAAAATCCTTATTTACAGTATATGCACCCTTTTTGGGGGTAGGTAATTATTATTACTATTTTTAAAAATAAATCCAAATTATACCAATTTTTTTGTCAACTTGGCAAAAAATATAATAAATTCTTAGTAATTAGTTTATGTGTACCATGAAATGAAAAAGGTTGAAAATCACTGCCTTAAGTGACTGAAGATTTTGATATTCTATCAGTAGGTGGTAGTAATAAGCCTAAATTATGTAGAGTGCACAAACATTTCAAGGTTTTTCACTATCCTTAATTCACTGAGTAACTCCTATGGAGTAGGTCAGCATTATCCATATCACTAAAGAGAAATAGAAAAATAAATGACCTATGTCATCTGGCTAAGGACCAGAGATTACTTACGCTATCAGAGCCAGAAGCCTTCTCCTAGTTCACTGGGTGAAAACTGCATCAGAAAGACAGGATTTAATTGGATGTAGAACAAAAAGGCAGAAGTTATTTTGATTAGCATATCAATATCTATTTGACTTAAAGCTTAGCTACATCAAAGAAACAAAAAACATAAAGACAAGTTGAATTAACCGTAGTAAAAGAATCTGTCAAAGAATTTTTTAAATTTCAAACATGGTTTTATTGATTTTGAAAAAAGAAAGGGGGAGAGAGAGGGAGAGAGAGGAAGAGAGGGTGAAGGGAGGGAGGGAAAGAGGAAGAGAAGGAGGGAAGAAGGAAAAGAGAGAAAGAAACATCATTTTGCTATTTCCTGTGCACTTCCCAACCAGCAATTGAACCCACAATCTGGATATGTGCCCTGACCAGGAATCAAACCAACCACCTTTTGGTGCACAGGATAATGCTCCAACAAACTGAGCTGCATCAGGCAGGGCAAAGCATTTATTTTTTTTTACTACTTTATGTCATGAAAAGCTTTAAAATGTTTTAGATCCTAGTCAGTTGTTCTATATTAAGGGTTGTTTTATTTAAAAATATAATCAGGCTAGACTTGCTTAAGGCAAACTCCCCTTGATATCTGGACCTAGAAACAAATGGACAAAAAACCTATTGGCATTTGAGTTAATAACTGAATTATTAATTAATGATTGTTGAAGCAAACTCTAAAATTTAACATTTGGCACACACAACAAAATGGCGATTTATCCAATGCATACTGAGGTATCCTTGAGAAAGAAGCAGGACAGAGGTGATGACAGAATTTAGTGGTCAAGAATCACTAGAACAAAGTGGCATTCAGCAAAAAGAATCAAACAATTGTCACAACCGTGGGATAAGTAGAAATGGACTATATCTTGTGTAGTATGGGATGAGAGGCTCAGGAAAGCCTGGCAGGGGGGTATCCCCCACTGGCAATTATGTAGGGCTGTGTTTGAAGGTCAACCAAAGGGTGAATTATGGAAGATCTTATTTACAAACACTAATCTTCCCTTCAAGTCATGATAATTTTTAGAAAACAGCTCTAAGCTCTCGTTCGAGATAAATTTCACAGTTAACAACAGTTACCTCAAAAAGAGAAGTATGAAGAGTAAGTAAAAATCCGGCTTCAGATTTACACCAGGAGTCTCCCTATAGCAATTGTGCAGAGGCTAATGGTTCTGAGAAAGATTTTAGTTACAAGGTATTCCATTCTCAGGGACCTGATCTGAGCAAAGTTGGCAAATGAAGGTAGTCAAGAATAAAGGGAGAGGACTCAGGATGGACTGAGTCTGGAACAACTCATTCTAACGGCCCATGGTTGGCATGACCACAGCAGGTGAGGAAAGAGTAGCATCTTCTTCTTTCCACTGAGAAGTGATGGTCTTTAGCTGAGTGTAGAATTGGATGCCCTAAAGAGAACAAAGGAAGAAATAGAGAAAGAGAGAATTAGCATATATTTGGGGGAGATTTCATGATTCCTCTTTTAATCAACATTTGAATGAGGTGCTGCAAAGAACTACTCACTCTCCTACTTGAGGAATAGGTACAACTAAAATCCAATATATTGTTCATGTAAATTTTTCTAAAACATTTAGCATAATACTTGGCACATAGTAAACAGTCAAACCTTAGTTATCATTATGCTGAAACTGGCCAATGTAATCTGTTAAATTTGTAGGTCATTCTGTTTCTAAGCTGAATATCATGTGCTTTGATGTCTAAAGGCATGGCTCAAATCCTGCCTCTACTCCTTGTTGACTGCTGTTTAACCTTGGGCCTTATCTGTGACACAATGTTCACCTCACAGCAATGTGTGAGGGAAAAATTAAATGGCATTCAAATCTCTCCTCATGAAGAAGAGAAAGGAGTGAAAGAATGAAATCTATATTAGGCATTTCTGACAACTGTCAGTGATGAACAGCTATACTGAAGCAGTAAAACCCACAATATCTTATAAATCTAAAGTAAAATGTCTGATATACACATTCATTTCTAAATAATCAATAACATGTAAGGCAAAAAAGTTCAGCATATTTAAGTCTTTATATCTACATAGTTTATTTTGTAAGTACAGGATTGAGCAAAAGAGAATAGACTGGACAGATCCAAGACCTAATTAATAGAAAGCTAAAAAGATATTATTGGAAAAAACACACTAGTTTGATTAAAATACTCTTCTAGAATTACTTGACAAAATCAGGGCCATGTTAATATATTGAAAACAACTTGAGAGATTATTATATACTTTCAACATAAGATACAACTAACCTTTCTATTTTATTATGTAAGAACTAGAGGTCTGGTGCACAAATTCATGCACATTGAAAGGAAATTAATTAGAAGAAATATTTTAGAGGCCAGAGAGGGACTGCAAGAGGTTGGCTCCAGGTGATGTCTGGCCAGGCCCACCCAGTCCCAATCAGCTGGACCCCAGCAGCAAGCTAACTTACCAGTTGGAGTGTCTGCCCTCAGTAGTCAGTGCATGTCGTAGCAACTGGTCAAGTGGTCAACTGAATGGTCGACCGATCAGTCGGACACTTAGCATATTAGGTGCATATATATACATACACATTTATACATATACATATACATATATATATATGCACACACATACATATACATACATATATACACACATATACATATACATACATATATAAGGCCTGGTGCATAAATTTGTGCACTAGTGGGGTCCAGTAAGCCCACCCTAATGGGGGCCTAAAAGGGGTGGGGCTGGCTGGGGCAATGGGTTGTGGTTGTTCCGGTTGTTCTGCCATTTGGTTGCTGGGCTTTTATTATATAGGACTAGAGGCCCGGTGCACAAAAATTTGTGTACTCAGGGGTTCCCTCAGCTCGGCCTGCACCCTCTAGTAATCTGGGAACCGTTGGGGGATGTCCGTCTTCTGGCTTAGGCCTGCTCCCCAAGTGATTGGGCTTAAGCTGGCAGTCAGACATCCCTCTGGCAGCCAGGGAGTCCTCGGGGGGTGTCCGACTGATGGCTTGTCCCTAGGGAGCGGGCTTAAGCCATCAGTTGGACATCCTTAGTGCTATTGAGGAGGAGGGAGAGGCTCTTGCCACTACTGCTGCACTCGCAGCCATCGGCCCAGCTTGTGGCTGAGCAGAGCTCCCCCTGTGGGAGCGCACTGACCAACAGGGGGCAGTACCTGCATTGGGTGTCTGCCCCTTGGTGGTCAGTGCACGTCATAGCGACCTGTCATTCTGGTCATTCTGTTGTTAGGGTCAATTTGCATATTACCCTTTTATTATATAGGATGATACTTTTTAAAATGTAAATTAGCAATTTAATTACCTGAGGATTTTAGACTTCAAACTCTATGAGGTTAGTCTTTTCCTCCAAGAAGCCTCACTTACAGAATAACTTATTAAGAAATTTTTGTTAATAGCATAAACTGGGTAAACTGGGTTAGTTTTATAAAAGCTGTCATTTTTGTCACAACCTATATAATAAGCCTCCAAATAATCAAATTTTTTCTTAGCCAATTAGCCACACTGTTATATTCTGCTATGTAAGTCCACTGTTAATTTTTTTTATTAACCTATAAAAAAAAGATCTGTATAGAAAAAAAATTAATTTATCACTGAATATTCCAGAATGGCTGAATTTCTGTAGGACTATAAAGAACTTTCACTAACCCATTTGTTCAACATATGTTTGGGCACCTGCTTTGTGCCAGGTGCTGCAGATAAGTAAATAACTAAAGGGTAATGTGGGCTTTTTAACATAGCTTAAAGATTCTTACATGACTTGTCCCTGCCTACCTCTCTAACCTCATCTCTTACCCCACTGTCTTACTCATTCACTCCCTGTGCTCCAGCCCATTTCTCCTGTTTGAATATGCCATGACTATTTCTGTCTTAGGAAATATGCACCTCCTGAAGAATGTGATAACAGTGGTAACTTAATCCTCATAACCTCATAAAATATAGGTATTGTTATTTTCATTTTACAAATGAAGAAACCTGAGACAAAGAGAAGGTATCCTCCAAGGTCACACAGTTAATAACTGGTTTCAGATCTGTTTTTTTTTTTTTTTTTTTTTTCCCAGTGCTGTATTTATGGTGCCTAGAATAGTGCTTGGTACAAAGAAGGTGCTCAATGAAATTTTTTGTAAGTCGATAACCATTACAGGAAGAAATATGTGGAGTGGTGGGAGCACATGAGGGCATACCCAAATGAGCACTGAGGAAAGGGCTGATGGTGGTCAAGTGGTTTTCTGGAAGAGTCCATTCTTTAAATGGAGACATGACAGGTGATTAAGTTAGATGAAAATGAGGAGGCAGAGGAAAGGGCATATACTAGTATAAAGGCTTGGACTTTCTTATGCTTTTTCCCTAAAACTTTGTTCTCTTTCAAATCTTTTGTAGGGGACTAAATGACAAGCAGTGATGAACAAAATATGACCTCACAGAGGCTGCTAGCAGACCCTTCCTTGCAGAATCCTTGTTCCTGAATATGTAAAAGTTTCTTAGAGAAAAGACATTTTAAAAAAACTTCCTTACCTGTTTGCCATAGAAATTGGTGTCTCCCCTGAAGGAAGATCGAGAGCCAGTGAATGAGAACATTGGTAAAGGCACTGGAATGGGGACATTCACACCCACCTAAAGCAGAACAAATCCATGTCAGATATTAAGAAAACGACTCAAACAAAGGAACTCTCTATTTAGAAGCATAAATGTGTGGCATTAGAATCACTAAGTTTAAATATCCACCTTCCACCCTATATCCATCTCACTGAACTTTTATTCCTGAGGAAGAAAATGAGGTATTGTGGGAGATCAGAGCGGTAGCAACTGATCACTGCTTACCATCTCCCCAGCAAACAGTAAGTGGCTATAAGAATCTCCTAAAAATTCTTTTCACAAACCTGTCCAACATCCACCAAGTGGGAATATTTCCTAGCAGTGGCTCCATTGGTGGTAAAGATGGCAGTTCCATTTCCATATGGGTTATCATTTACAATCTTGATGGCTTCATCCAAAGTATTTGTCTCCAGAACCACAAGAACTGGACCAAAAATCTCCTCTTTGTAACAAGTCATATTTGGCTGCCAGGAGTGATGCATCCAGAAAAGAAGTCAGTATTTTATGCTTATTTGTTAATTTAGAGCCCACTGTTTACACAGACAGCTTTCATGTTAGTAGTCACTTTTCATTTTAAAGCACTTATTTTTTTTTTAAAGTGCTTTCTTGCTGTGTTCCATCTTCCAGGCTACCAATCTTATCAATAACTTGAAATTTCTATTAAGTACAATTACAATCCTTTCCTTTAAGCATTGTATTTTTAGGTCCCATGACCCATCACTAGCTTCCTCTTTTATACTTGTATAAACTGTTTATACAATTACTATATTACTGAAAACTTACATGAACATTCATTTTTTAAGTAAATCAAATATATATTTAAAATACCATAGGAGATTTCTTTCTGTTTAAAGAAACCCTGTGTGAAGTTTTCTATAACATAAACAATCCATTCTCATTCATTCCTTTGTTTCCCAAATGAGTCTGCACATTTATATTTTTATCAGGTCACATTAAACATTAAAAACATTCTTTACCACTGTAGTTAGTCAGTTGTGTTTATTGTTTATAAATGGATATTTTCTTTCATGGTTCTTTGACAAGAGATTTCATAATTTTACTACACTTACATTCAACTTAATTATTCAGGATTATAGTAGGATTGGTGGGGACATATGTATTTCAAAAAAAGCCTCCTAACCTCAACTTAGCATTAATTTTAGCTGAAAAAACATGTAGAGTTTTGATAAATTAACATTTTTATTTGTTAATAAAAATTATCTTCCTTTTGTCACTTTCTGGTAAAGATGCAGCTAAATTTAGGGCACAAAGTACTCAATAAATATTGGTGGCTGATATAGCTGCAATATCTATAAGGTAGGAGTAAGAAGGAATGGGAAAAAATTTAACACTAAACAAATAAGTAACAAATATAAGATAGGGATTGACAAAATATGGCCATTGGGACAAATATGGCGTGCTGCCTGTTTTTGTACAGCCAACAAGCTAAGAATAATTTTTGTTGTTGTTATTATTTATCCTCACCCAAGGATATTTTTCCATTCATTTTTAGAGAGTGTGGAAAGGAAGGGAATGGAGGGGAAGAGAAACATTGATGTGAGAGAGACACATTGATAGGTTGCCTCCTGCATGTACCTGACTGGGCTTGGATGGACCTGCAACCCAGGTACCTGCAGGAATGGGAATTGAACCCATGACCCTTTGGTGCTCAGGCTGATGCTCTAACCACTTACCACACCAGCCATGGCTCTATATTTTTTAAATGGTTGAAAAAAACCAATTATGACATATAAAATTATTTGAAATTAAAATTTCATTGTCCATAAATAAAATTTTACTAGAACACAGCTTTACAATGATAATGGTTGTTTCATACTAATATGTCAAGAGTTGAGTAGTTGTGAAAATATTTACTATCCAGCCCTTTATGGAAAGTTTGCTGACTACTGGTAGAGTTGAAAGAGATTAGGAGTGAGAAGGGAGGTTTATTCAGACTCTAGATAAAATAACTGAATAATTCTCGCATGAAATGAAGTCTCTAGTCATTAATTGTACTTTATTTATAAGTTAGAGGGATGAGCTTCCATAGCCTCTAAAGTGCCTTCAGCTCCCGTATATGGGAAACAAATAATCCAGAGCTGTTTACCTTGACATTTGAGATGATGGTTGGTCCAACAAAGTTGCCATTTTCATAGCCTTTGACTTTAATGTTTCGACCATCAAGAAGGATGGAGGCCCCCTCCTTTGTTCCACTATCAATCAGATTACAGACTCGCTCTTTGGCCTGAGGCGTGATCAGAGGGCCAAGATCAGCTCCAGGCTGGTCTCCTATAAACAACACAGAAGTGTTTAAGGTCTTCATTAACATAACTTATGACTGCCAACTAAAGATTAATCCAAACAGGTACAGTATGAAGAGAGGCAATGGTAAAAACGGATATGATTGCTCCCATTGGCCAAAGCCAATGTTAAAACCAAGATCTTGGTCCCACAGATGCAAAGTCTAAAAGAATGAGGCAGATAACAGATTACCTGCATTGACTCTCAGGTTTTTGGCACGCTCCACCAGCTCTGGCAGCCACTTCTTAGCTTCTCCCACAAGGATGGCTGTTGAAAGAGCCATGCAGCGCTGACCAGCAGCTCCAAATGCTGCCCCAACCAGCTGGTTAAGTGTATTTTCCTTATTGGCATCTGGCATGACTACCCCATGGTTCTTGGCTCCCTAAGGAAATACAGAAAGCACATGAATCTTCCTTGACAAAATTATGCTAAAAATCATATAATAAATCTCTGAAATCAATAAAATATATATATTTATATATCCTGTACATATATTTTTTTAAAAAGGTAATTAAAGTCACTTAGAATAAACCTCATCACAATATTCATCATTAAAGGAAAGCTATTCAGGATTTCTATACGAAAGCTATATGAGATTTCAAATGAAAATTTAAGGTAAGGACTAGAGAATTTATCCTTTGCCGCTTTGAGGATAGATTCATTATTCTGATATTGCTAAAGTCTTGGTAACATTGGGCAAGTCTCCAGATTACTCCCCCCCCTCCTTTTTTTTCCCAGTTGATAAGCTGATACATGTTTATTTAGATTTAAAAAAGAAGAATCCCAATCATCACATTTAAGTCAAACTGATAGGCTAACACTGCATCCAGGAACCAGTGAGAACTACTTTTTCTTTCCTGTTAGATAGGAAAAAATTTGTTGTCTGCTGGGGTTTCCAGTTACGTGAATAGCAGTGTAAACAACTGCCAGTAAGAATGCCAGTAGCCAGCAGAAACCGGTTTGGCTGAGTGGATAGAGCGTCGGCCTGCAGACTAAAAGGTCCCGGGTTCGATTCTGGTCAAGGGCATGTACCTCGGTTGCGGGCACATCCCTGGTAGGGGTGTGCAAGAGGCAGCTGATCGATGATTGTCTCTCATCGATGTTTCTAACTCTCTATCCCTCTCTCTTTCTCTCTGTGAAAAATCAATAAAATATATTAAAAAAAGAAAAAAAAAGAATGCCAGTAGCCAGATGAAGCAAAATAGGAAGTAGCCCTCTCCTGATAAACAAGTTCTGGAAAGAGGTTCCCAGACTGGCTTGCTTCTAGATACACAAGCTTCATGAATTTCTATGAAGGATACCATCTGGTCATTTCCCACATATGTTTTCAAATACAGTTATAATTGATTACATGGATAAATACCATGCCAGCTACTTAATTTTATTCCATTACACACGGTATACTGTGAACTGGGAGAAACTTCAAACTGGCCAAAATACACTTGGCCATGAAAATAAGTAAGTATTATGAAGTTTCCAAACCTGTGCTCGAGTGGCTATTCTTTATGCAACATTAGTCAAAAAGTGAGAAAGTAGCAATTGGACTTTATATTTAGTTTCAAGTATTTGACAAGGAACTAGTGAGCGAACAGCAAAACTATGCAATCAAGTAAACCACACATCTCGTATAGGGCTATGGGGCTCTTCTCAGCCTTAAATAGCCTGAACTCTTAGGGAAGAAGATATTTGGACATTAGTAGTAGTTAGGATACGCCTTAAAAGAAGGAAAAGGTAAAAGGGCTAGAAAAGCGTGGTATGAAGGAAGAAACAGGGCCAAAACCAGAATTTGGCTGTTACTACCCTGTTTCCTCGAAAATAAGACAGTGTCTCATATTAATTTTTGCTCCCAAAGATGCGCTAGGTCTTATTTTCAGGGGATGTCTTATTTTTCCATGAAGAAGAATACGGTACACATTTATTATTAAATGAAAATAAAGGAAATTTATTACCTGTATATGGTACGGTAGTACGTAGTTGTCAACACAAACCAGACAAACTGTGAATCCTACAGTATCAAGAATTTACTCATTTATTCAATGACAATCATGTCATCATCTTCTGGAACATCATCATAACAATCCAATTCCTGAATTTCCTGGTGAATTTCTTATGACTCCTGGGGGAGTGGGGGGGCTTATTATATTTTACTCAGAAGGAAACCTGTAAGTAGGTCTTATTTTCGGAGGATGTCTTATTTTCGGGGAAACACTGTACTAAAGCCCAAAGAATATGAATAACATTTCCAGGGGAAAATGTGCCCCTGGGCACCCAAATTTGTTGTATAAGATAAAAGGTAATTAGAGTTGCTCGGCCAGTGTGGCTCAGTGTGGGCTCAATCTCCAGTGGGGGTGTGTGCAGGAGGCAGCTGATCTATGATTCTCTCTCACCATTGATGCTTCTATCTCTCTCTCCCTCTCCCTTCTTCTCTGAAATCAATAAAATATATATATTTAGTATGACAAGGAACCTAGTGAGAGAACAGCAAAACTATGCAATCAAGTAATTAAAGTCACTTAGAATAAACCTCATCGCAATATTCATCATTAAAGAAAAGCTATTCAGGATGAAATGGGAATAAGGAAACATCTGGTTCTGGCCCTGTTTCTTCCTCCACACCATTGGTGATAGAGTGGGAAGAGAGGCCCCTCTGCTGCAGGGCTGTTGCTAGGTAAACTTAACACATATAACCAAGTTTGAAAGAAAAAAGGAATAAAAAGTCACCATATTGGCTTGAACTCTCTTGCCATGTTTTGACCCTCTCTCGAAGATGTACTCTCCTGCCTGGTTGGATCCCACAAAGCTGATTGCTTTGATATCCGGATGATCACAAATAAAGTTCACAGCTTGAAGAGGAAAATAAATAATCACCATAAAGGAACAAATGGCTGTAGGTTTCTCAACATAACAAATTTCGTCTTTCCCCACTGCTATGAGGGAGAAATTTTCATACTTTTTGCGTTTTAATTCTGTATTCCATTTTGAAGTTCTCTCTTTCTTTGACCTCATAATTTTTTAAACTATAAAGTCTATTTAGCATCTTCCCTTTCATTATTTTTCTCATTTGCTATTCCAGAATTTCCACTTCTAACTCTGAAACCTACAACTCCTATTTTTTCTTGAAAATAACAGCCCTTCAGAGCATCTGAGATCTTGCTTCTTGGCCTTGTCCCCAGTTTGGGCTCAAACACACTCTTATAAAATTCTCCAAAATAACAGCCCTGCAATACTCAATATAATGTTTCTTCAACTGTTATGCATAACAGAACTCTCAGATACTATTGTGCCCTTATGTGAGAGACGATGTAGCATAGTGCACTCATGTGCTGCTTAACGACAGAAGAAAAATTCTGAGAAATTCATCATTAAGCAATTTTGTCATTGTGCAAACATCCTAGCATGCACTTATACAAACCTAGATGGTATATCCTGTTGTTCATAGGCTACAAACCTGTACAGCATGCTTCTATATTAAAATATGAGATTAAATTAAACACGAGAAAATTATGCAATCAACAGGTGCAGTAAACGTGAGATGTATAAGGCTGCTACCAGCATAATACGACATATTATTTTTCAGCAAACTTATTTTTTAAGTAGAGAGTACACTCTAAAATATCAGAGAATATCAGAGTAAGTACACAAATCAGTTATATAGTCATTTATTATCATTAAGTAATATGTATTGTACATCATGGCATATGCTATATTTTTCTATACCAGCATCACCACAAACATGTGAGTAATGCATTGCACTACATTGTTACTATGACTACAATGTCACTAGGTGATATGAATTTTTCAACTCTATAATCTTTTTGGACCACTGTTGTATATGCAGTCTGTTGTTGATCAAAACATCGTTATGTGCCACAGGAAACCAGGTTCAGCATTCCTGGATATATACATCTTGGCTCTGATAGGTTTTAGCAGTGTGACTTTGGGCAAATTACTTAATTTCATTATGCCTCAATTTTCTTACCTGTAAAATGGAAAAATGGCATCTATCTAAATGGGTTCTTACAAAGATTAAATGAAATAATCTATGAAAGATACGAGGAACAGTGCCGGAAACACAGAAGCACTTTTTAAGTAGTAGCTATTTTATATGAATTAGAATTCTTTAGTCTCTCTGAGGTCTGTAAAGTGAGTCTCTGAATTAAAAATCATCATAAATTATCTCAATATTAAAGTGAAGACTTTTTCTTGAATCTTATCTGTGTCTTGTGCTAATCCATATTTCTTTGTCTCAATGTATTTTGTAGGGCAAGAAGCACTGCTACTCCCTAGTTAGTTACCTTAGCACACAGAGAGCAAAATAGTTAACAAATATTACCTTCAAACAGGGAGGTAACTTAGTAAATCCCTTCATCCCTAGGTTCCTCATTCTAGAACACCCATCACCACTCAACACCTTGATATTTGGGAAGCCAGATTAAGTGCCATATACTGAAAGGCAGTTACCTTCATGTTGTCCATGGATGATGTTCAGTGTTCCATCAGGGGCACCAGAGTCCTGGAGCAACTTAGCAAGAAGCATAGTTGCTCCAGGGACTCGCTCTGATGGTTTCATTAGGAAGGTATTTCCACACACCATGGCCATGGGAAACATCCAAAGGGGGATCATGGCAGGAAAATTGAATGGAGCAATGCCTGCACACACGCCCAGAGGCAGACGGTAGGAATAAAGGTCCATGTCTTTGGTGATGGATGGCATGGTCTCTCCCAGCAGGAGGGATGTCACACTACAGGCATGCTCAACCACCTCTGCAACAGAGAAGAAGCAGTCAAGCCAGCAGCTGTCCACATGGTACACTACTTGGCTTCGTCATGCTCCGGTAAGCCCTGAGGGCAGGGAGTGACTCAGGCCAATGACAGGGAACACTGACTTGACCTTCCATGAGAGAAGGGCTTGTGCAAAATGAGATTCTCTAAATGGGAAAAAGACAGTGAAATGTACATTTCTACTGGAAGATGAGTTAAGTAAAACACAAAATGAAGTAAGCCAATTTCATAGATTGCTGTGAAATTTCCACAAGTATTAAAAAACATGGGATAACAAAATCAACATAAAGGAAGAAACAATCCCTCATTAAGGGATCTTGGCCTCCCATTTTCCTTTGCTCCTTTCCCAAATGTCCCTGAAGCTCCCCATGAGGGACACCCTGCTTACGAAGGCCTCGAAACACATCTCCTTCAGCATCGGCTAGGGTCTTCCCTTGTTCCAGCGTGATTAACCTGGCAATTTCTTTCTGGAGAGAAAACACACAAATAGAAACCCATGTAAGGATGTGTCTCCTTTTAGTTCTCAGGTAGCAAAGGAAAGACAAAACTGGAAGAAATAATATGAGAAAGAGAACCATGATCTACATCTCTCTGGACTGGACAGTGAGGGAGTGCAGCTAAAAGGGCCTCTGTGGGTGTGACAAGTCTGCTGTAGACAAGAGTTTGGAAAACGGTGTCATTCAGATTTCTTACCAAGTTTTCTTTAATAAGTTGTTGATAGCGAAGCAGAACCTGCTGACGGCTTAATACTGAAGTGTCTGCCCATGCGGGAAAAGAACGTTTGCAGGAGGCAACAGCAGCGTCCATTTCAGCCTTGGTGGCCTGAGGGACCCGACCAATGACCTCATTGGTGGCCTGATGGGAAAAAACAGCACATCATCCTTTGCCCCTGCCTCGCCTTCTTCATTTTTCATGGCTACAAAGGCAGCACTATGTGCTTCACCATAGACACCCAAGTCCCCGCTTTCCCACCATGTTCCCAGAATGCGAGGCTAGTCAGTTTAGGCAGCTTTGCTTACTGGGTTGTGGATGTCGATCCATTTGTCACTTTTGGATTCAACAAATTTCCCATCAATGAAGAGTTTTACAGTTGGCTGGGAAAACAACAATAACACACACAAAATACTATATTAGTTAATTGTTTTACTTTTCTCTCTTACTATCACAAAGAGGAAGGAATTTGGCTTGATAAGGAATCTACTGCTCTCTAGAAATGTTGCCATTTGCAAAGCAATACACAATAAACTTGTTTATAGTGTTTGTTAAGATGTGGCAGAGTCTCTGAAAACTGGGACCTCTTTGAAAATGGGAAATTCCCCAGTAATCACACAGTGGATCTTCCTGAATAAACACATGTCACTGTAAAGCTTACACTAAAAAAGCAGCAGACTGTGTGTTAACAAAGATTAGCTATTGTGACTTCTTGGTCCAGCTGATGTTCTGTTACATTAGCATGATAATGTCTTATCTTTATGATCAAAATATATGTATATTTTTAATCCTCACTCAAGGATATTTTTCCATTGATCATTTAGAGAGAGTGGAAGAGGGAAAGACTGAGAGTAACATTGGTGTAAGAAAAACACATCAATTGGCTGCCTCCTGCATGCTCCCTGACCAGGGCTGGGAGGTGCCTGGGCTGGGGAGGAGCCTGCAACCAAGGTAAGTAATCTTGACTGGAATCGAACTCAGGACCTTTTGGTCCATAGGCTGACCTCTATCCACTGAACCAAACCAGCTAGAGTGATGATCAAAATATTTTTAAAATGTATTTATCTGTGATTTTTTTTTTTTTCTGAGAAGCTTAGTTTTGTTAAATTTTCATAAGGGTCTGTGGACCAAAATAGGTGAAGAGTGACTGTGCTATAGTGTGTGCATGCTTTATATAGAAAGTATTTTGAGCACCAGTCCTATTTATTAGATTTTAGGTACAAAATCTGTAAAAACAATTCTAAAGGTTGTCAAGAAGTACAAATCACCTGGTAGGATCAACTAAACTTATAGAAACCATGAAAATGTTTGTATCTTTTAACACAGTTATCTTATTTCAGAAGAGAAATAACTTAAAAGAAGTAAAAACAAACTGTAAATAAATGTTTGTAAAACAATATTGAAAAACTGAAGCAATCTAAATGTTATATGGGGAAAATATGAGTTAATGCAGATAATGTAGGAATATAACACAGCCATTAAAATCTTAACATAATAGACATATTAAATAAGAAAACCAAGACAGATGCCGAAACCGCTTTGGCTCAGTGGATAGAGCATCGGTCTACAGACTGAAAGGTCCCAGGTTCGATTCTGGTCAAGGGCATGTACATTGGTTGCGGGCACATCCCCAGTAGTGGGTGTGCAAGAGGAAGCTAATCGATGAATCTCTCTCATTGATGTTTCTAATTATCTATTCCTCTCCCTTCCTCTCTGTAAAAAATCAATAAAAATATATTTAAATATATATATATATTAAAAGAAAAAGAAAAAAAAAACCAAGACAGAAAGTTTCACATACACTGATCACAGTTACATAAAGAAGATAAATTTTGAGGAATATCCAAAAATTATACTGAATTCCTTCTCAGAAGTCAACTTTTCATGCCAAATAAACTCACCGCTGAAGAAGAGAAAGAGGATGCTGAATACCAAGTGGAGTTCACCTTGGAAGAAACCTGTGAGGTAAAAGAATTATTTTTATAAATGAGAGCAGGAAATTACTAAAAATGTAGTAAATGGCTACTATATGTTTAATATTATACTATCGTGTTTCCCCGAAAATAAGACCTAGTGCATGGAAAGATAAGACATCTCCTGAAAATAAGACCTAGTGCAACTTTGGGAGAAAAAATTAATATAAGACACTGCATATTTTTGGGGAAACAGGGTAGTATTATGGATATATAAAAAAAGGATTTGATGTTAGTTGTTCTCAAGGATCATATAAATTTGAGAAGACATGAGACTGAGATATAGCTAGTTGAGAAAACAAAAAGCTATAACGATTGTGTCTTCAATTTCTGGTCAGTATTGATTTTTAAAAATGATTTTTGCCCAACCAGGTTGCTCAGTCGGTTGAGCATTGTCCCTGGGCACATAACTAATAGCGAGTTCAATCCCTGGTGGGGGTGCCTATGGCAGGCAACCAATTGATGTTTCTTTTGCACATCGATGTCTGTCTCTTTCTATTTCCCTTCCTCTCTCTAAAACCAATTAAAAATATATTTTCCTAATTTTTGGCCTGGAAAATGTAGTCACCATAAATCAAACAATATGAAAACACTTAGCATGGTATCCAACATAATAGGTGTTGAATGTAAGACAGTATATAACCAAGTATCAAATATAAGTATAATATGCCCATACAAATACTTAAACACAAATGTTCAGAGCAACCTTATTTATAATAGCCCAAAATTTTGAAATATACCAAATGTCTACCATTGGATGGGTGAGTAGAGGAACTAATGTGATATATTCAATAAAAAAGGATGAAACAACATGAATAATTATAGTAATTATATCGAGTAAAAGAAGTAATACATAAAAAAGAGTACATACTGGATTTCTCATTTATATAAAACTAGAAAATTCAAACTAATCTGTAGTGTCAGAAAGTACATCAGTGGTTACCTAAAGATGATGTGGAAGGTGGAGAGTAGAGGGTAAAGGGTAACTTTTAGGGATATGAATATAATCATTATCTTTTTTAAAAATATATATTTTATTGATTTTTTACAGAGAGGAAGAGAGAGGAATAGAAACATTGATGAGAGAGACATCAATCAGCTGCCTCTTGCACACCCCCTACTGGGGATGTGCCCGCAACCAAGATACATGCCCTTGACCGGAATCGAACCTGGGACCTTTGAGTCCACAGGCTGCTGCTCTATCCACTGAGCCAAACCGGTTTCAGCTATAATCATTATCTTGATTGTGATGTTTTCATAGGTGTATACAAATATTAAAACTTATCAAATTATTCACTTAAATATATATATTTTATTGATTTTGTACAGAGAGGAAGAGAGAGGGATAGAGAGTTAGAAACATCGATGAGAGAGACATCAATCAGCTGCCTCTTGCACATCCCCTACTGGGGATATGCCTGCAACTAAGGTATATGCCCTTGACCGGAATCGAACCCGGGACCTTTCAGTCTCCAAGCCGACGCTTTATCCATTGAGCCAAACCGGTTTCGGCAAATTATTCACTTTATATATAAACTTTATTTCAATAAAGCTATTTTTAAAAATGCCACATGTACCTTAAGAGATTATAATTAGAATACTGGGAGGGGGATCAGTTACAATAAAATAATTCTCTAAATCAAGCATGTCAAACTTGTAGCCCACAACAAATATTTTTGCGACCCAGCCAATATAATGGTATATAAGAAACATTTAAATAAAATTTCATAATTTAATTTTTATAATATCCTGTTTATGTAACTAGAGGTCCGGTGCATGGATTAGTACACACTGCAGGTAAATTAATTAGAAGGTGGTCGGCGGGGTGGGACTGGACAAGACGGGCTAGACACGCCCTGGAGCCAACCTCCTGTGGTCCCTCCCTGGCCAGCTGCACCTGGAGCAGTGCTGGGGCTCAAAGGGCATATGCAGAGTGAGTGGGATCCCTACAGCAGGTGGGGTCCCTCGGCCTGGCCTTCGGAGATAGGGCCAAAACCAGCACTCCGTCATTCCCTGAGGAGTCCTGGAGTGGGAGACGCCACTCTGCAAAGTTGCTGTGGCTCAGCAGCTCCTGCATCGAGCGTCTGCCCCCTGGTGGTCAGTGCACATCATAGGTACTGACCAGATCACCTGGTAGCTTAGCCTTTTATATATATAATTAACAATGAACTACAACATTCACTAATGACTTATTACTATAATTGTGTTGTATTCATTTCCCTTATGCGCCTTATTGTAGGTGCACCATTTCTCTCCACTAATACTAGCAGCAAGTATTTTAGTAGCCGACTGCCATGTCATTAGTATTTGTTGTGTGCAATAGGAAATGTTTTGCTTTTGGAGAACAAGAAAAATAGGTTTATTTATATTGTGCTTATTAATTTGTGCAGTTATTCAGTGTCTGGTAGGTTAATGTTCAAAAATATTAATTTTTATTAAAATGTTCTATTATCTTAATGATTACCAATTTCTATCAGCCCTTTATATTCAGCATGTCTCTATAAAAATAAACATTTCTATGAAATGTTTAAAAATCTACATTTCTATGAAAATTAAAGCTTTATTTTTTGGGGGTCCACATACATAAACTTAAACCTTGTTTATTCAGCCCTTGTTAGCCTTTGAGTTTGACATGCTTGCTCTAAATAAATATTAATAGTTCATATACATATATGTTACAGAAGTTGATTTAATAAATATTAAAGTCTAATCAAAGTGAGCAATATGAAATACCTGGGACTGGAATATAGTAACCTATTATCTTGTCAGGATGTTAACCAAAAAGTTAGAGCTGCATGAAGTGTAAGAATTTGTGCATCTGTAGCACTGTCCAATCCAGAAGGATCCTTTGGACCAGCAGACAAACCTTCCAAATGCCTATTCTCCTTCTTCCTCTATTCCTCACAAAAGCTATTTCAAACCACCAACACTTTTCTGGAGCACACCATGTCTTATTTATAGACATATTCCCAATACCAATGTGATACATAGTAGGTATTCAATAAATATCTATTGGACAAAAGATGCCAAAACCGATTTGGCTCAGTGGTAGGGCATCGGTCTGTGGACTGAAAGGTCCCGGGTTCGATTCCGGTCGGGGGCATGTACATTGGTTGCGAGCACATCCCCAGTAGTGGGTGTGCAAGAGGCAGCTGGTCGATGTATCTCTCTCATCGACGTTTCTAGCTCTCTATCCCTCTCCCTTCCTCTCTGTGAAAAATCAATAAAATATATTTAAAGAATATCTATTGGACAAAAGAAAGATGCACTGGGCTAGACTCCCCGACTCCAGATTAGTTTAGGTGTTCCTTTTTTTGTACTCCCATAGCAGCCAATATTCCCCCTCTCAGGTTTAATTGTCTCTGTTGTAACTGCCTAATTACTTGTTACCCAAAAGCTTGTAAGTTCCATTACGGTAGGCTGTTTACTTCCTTTAAAAATATTTGTATTGCTCTAACTGGTTTGGCTCAGTGGATAAGAGCATTAGCCCTCGGATTGAAGGGTCCTGGTTCGATTCCAATCAAGGCATGTACCTGTTGCTTTACAGAGTTACTGTGATCAAGATTGTACAGATATGAAAAATAGTTGGTGTTCAATAAATGTCATTATTATTTTATTATTATAAATACTTACTTGTTCTCACTCCTTGCTATTTAAAAACTTATAAATTCTCTTAAAACTTCCAACTCTGCTACTTCCTTTCTTAATCTCAGGAGCTGACTTTGCTTTCCTAAATTTCAGAGGAAACAGAAACCATGAGATGAGAATTTCCTACTAGTAAATCTACAAAACCGACCTGCAATTATACCCATCTTTTTTCCTTCCTCCTCTTATAATGGAGAAGGTAGCTAGCAAGCTCTGTGAGAACAAAGTGACTGGGAGATAGAGTCTGTCCTCCAGTCTAAGGCTAATCCATGCACCTGTGTCTGAAGTCAACCTTTATTGCTGCCTCTTTTAAAAAATATGTACAATACAATACTTGTATTGCCCTAGCAGGTTTGGTTCAGTAGAGCATCAGCCTACAGACTGAAGGGTCCTGGGTTTGATTCCGGTCAAGGGGATGTACCAGTTGCAGGCTTGATAGTTGGCCCTGGTGGGGATGCATGTGGAAGGCAACCAATCAATGTGTCTCTCTCTCAGATCAATGTTTTTCTCTGTCTCTCCCCCTCCTTTCTACTCTCTCTAAAAATGAATGGAAAAATATCCTTGGGTGAGGATTAACAACAAAACAAAAAATATATTTTTTAATGGATTTTTCAAGAGAGAGGAAGGGAGAGGGAGAGAAAGAAACATTGATGTGAGATCAAAACATTAATCAGCAGCCTCTGCAAAGCCAGCACTGTCCTATAGAACCCTTTAGTGCAAGTATGTCAAACTCAAAGGCTAACATGAGCCAAATAAACAAGGTTTAAGTTTATATCAGCTGCAAAAAAACCAAAAACTTCAATTTTCATAGAAATGTAGGTTTATTTCTATAGAGACATGCTGAATACAAAGGACTGATATAAATTAGTAATCATTATAATAAAAGAATATTTCGATAAAAATATTTTTTTTTCTTGAACATTAACTTACCAGACACTGAATAACTGCACAAATAAGCATAACACAAATAAACCTATTTTTCTTGTTTTCCAAAAGCAAAATATTTCCTGTTGCACACACCAAATAAATCAGTGCAAGACTAATGACATGGCAATTGGCTGCTAAAATGTTCGATGCTAGTATTAGTGGAAATGGTGCACCTGTGGGTAAGGTGCGTAAGGGAAAGTTATGCAACACGATTATAGCAATCAGTCATAGTTGTAGTTGGTTATTAATAATTATGTATACAGGATATTATAAAAATTAAGTTACAAAATTTTATTAAAACGTTACTTACATACCGCTATATTGGCTGGGCTGCAAAAATATTGTGGGCTGCAAATGTGACATGCTTGCTTTAGTGCCTGCCACATGGCACAAAGGATATCCTTACCCTCTTC